ATTCGAACGCCACCATACCACCTGCAGTGTGATGGACAAGTAGATAGGCTTAACCGCACGCTGTCCGCAATGTTGTGCCATGTTGTAAATGGTGATCAGATGGACTGGGACTTGCACATCCCAGGGGTCCTAGGGGCATATTGTAGAGTGCCACATGCATCGGCCGGGCTCTTCCCCTTCTTTTTGATGTATGGGAGAGACCCTGAGCCACCTATTGAGGACCAACTGGTGGCTTTCCCTGCTAAAGTTGTGTCGTCACCAGCCTCCCTCAGACTGCCACTAAAAAAGCTCTGTGAAGCTCGTGAAGCCGCGATAGCAGAGTCAGGCAGATCGCAAATAGCAAACAAACGGTTGCGGAAAAGAACGGAGACGCCTGTACCCTTTGAACAGGGTGATCGGGCCTGGTTACACTGTCCTGAGGTCCGGGTTAGAAAATCCGCCAAACTACACCATCCTTGGCAAAGCCCAGTGGAATTGTTAAAATCCTCTGCCCGCAAAGTGTTCGCATCCAAATGGGACGCCAGAGATGGGTGGTTAATCCGAGTCGCCCTAAACCATATAGAGAACTGACGTCACAAGGGATCGTTCAGGCTCACAAAGCCGTGTCCAGGGGCGTCGTGATGAATGCCAGGGAGGGGAGCATCCTCCTCACAGAAATAGTGCCCCCGCACTCTCCTCTCAGGATCGACCGGAATGAAGATGGCCACGATGAGGGAGGCCGACGGACTAATTTAGAGAGGTGCCGAGAAGGAGTGTCACCGGGTCGAATGTGCTGCTCGACCACACCTACAGTACATATTGATGGCTTGTTGTAAATGTAGGGCTAATGATGTTGCGTATTGTTTGCCTAAGAATGTACACCTTCAATAGGGCAGCCCACGTAAGAGTTTGGTGATGATACTGAATGGTCAAGTTGGGTTGTAATGCCTTCCCCCCCTTGATTCAAGCGCCTATGTTAAGCATTAACCCAGAGGTTAAATGTTTTGTACTCCATGCCCACATCACTGAATCCCGTGTGCGATCCCATTGATTCCCACATAGAGTTCCCTATTACTGGTAGGAACGAAGTTGTAAACTGAGTGTACCAGCCTGCAATAGATGAGTGTACCAGCTTGCAATAGATTAATGCGTCCGTCCGTCCCCTTTCAATACTTTAACGAAGTGAAATCTCGTGCTATTGGGGTGTAAAAATAAAATTGCGCAAAATTCCAATGTTCCTACCAGCCCACCCTGCAGGGACCTGTTAAATTAGAGTTTTAGCCGGGACAGATATTTTTATGGGCAGAAGAGGGTGATGTAGGGTACTGTACATGGCAAAAGTTATAGTGGTGTCAGTGGAGATGGGTGGAAACAGGTGCATGGTACCGTACGAGGGAAGGTTCGAGGTAGAAGACGGTAAAGTTTGCTGGAATAATCTTAAATTAAAGCTTTCATGAATGCAGGGATTCATACTCTTTGGTGGAGACGATAGCACAGAGTGGTGTACCTTCTTTATGATTCTGATATTTCCATCCTACCTGCCTATGTCAGCTGTTATTTCCGACTCTTTGTGTCTCTCTCTATGCCTCTCTCTTAGATCTCTCATGCTTACATGTCCTTTGGATTGCACTCTCATGCCTTTGGATTCCACCACTCTTCGATATTACTTTAACATGCTAATCTCTCACATTAACATGGCCACTTTGATGCCCTCTACGAGGAGGCCACTCTCCGTTCTTACATTTACATGCTAATTTCTCACATTAACATCACTGGCCCCGCCCACTTATTTATGGCCCTTGGGCTACACCCATTTCAAACTCTTTTAAACATTCTGCCTCAACAGCAGATCATGCTTTGCCATCTCATGACGGACGCTTGTGTTGCACCCAAAACGTCGTGATTTATTTTATTTTATACCTACGTGACTTTACCGAAAGAACCAAAGAGTATGGAAGATACCAAGTCAGCTTCATCCCAATGGTGGTGTTTAGGCGAAAGTTTATCTATGAGTATATATAGGCTGGCTAACAGGTCTGAAGTTACTCCTTTGGTGGTAATAAACAAAAACAATAATAAATGTATAACCATTGTCATGGGTGAAGTCTTCCCATACTGGATCAGTCATGGAGATTGTTTCACCATACGCCATCATGCTTCTCAACGTGGGTTGATAACGAAAAGGCTCATGGCCAGTTTGTTTGATGTTAACTATAACCGAGAATCAAACTCAAGTGGCCTGATTCATAGTGCAATGCACAAACCATTGTGACACCGTTCCACTCGTATGTACAAGTTAACAGGGAAATTAAAAAAACTATGCCATGTTTTTTGTTTACTGTCAATAAAATGAGAAAATAACATTGCCACGTTGGTCAAGTTTTAGGTATAATGCAGACAAGGGTTTTGGTAGTTGGACGATTTCAGAATGGGTTGAAGGTGACAATCCCAATCAAATGCCATTTTCAAGATCGTGTGCATAGGTCTGTTGTAGACAAAAACAACGGCCTGCTGATAAAGCATGTCCTGCATTCTTACATGTGTAAAGCAGCTCCTTCGCAGGTTTCATTTTCTAGATGATTTATTCCCGACGATAACATATTTACAAGGTGAGAGTGCGACTCACACGTTGCACAAGGCTATGACTATCTGCAGTCCCGGTGGTTTCTAATAGAGTAGATTAATCTCGAACAGTCTTTCTTGATGGTTTCCACCATGTTGATTTCCAACAGTCGGCCCCGATGTCGTCCACCTGCAGTTGTTCTTCAGTCCCCAAGGCATCACCCCATATACCCGCACGGCCACGCCCTGGTAACTTCCAGCAGTTTTCCCCGGTAGATTCTCTCAGCAGACTCTATTGTCTTCTACTTCACTTCTCTTGGATGGCAAAGTTTATAGTGGGGGCAGTGGAGATGGGTTGAAACAGGTACAGGTTACTGTACGGGGGAAGGTTCGTGTGAGTCGTACTCTTGCGTTGTAAATACATCATCGTGAAATAAATCATCTATCAAATGGAACCTGCAAAGGAGCTTCTTTACACATGTGAGTGTAAGCCTGAGTATAATCTCACGTGTTGTTGCTGTCGAGTATTTTAATTTTACCAGTGGGTCAATGAGGGAAGGGGATGATGATTTATGTAGTGATAGAATGGGTGGGTCATTCTTGAGAGCATGAAAAAGTGCGTGAGTGAGGTTGACACAGTAAATGATCGGGTGATTGTGTGATCAGGTAAATATATGACTCATGAGGAGAGAGAGGGAGTATTTACGTGAGTCATAGATTTAAGGAAGTGGGTGAGTTCATAATGGAGTGAGTACCAGTTTATTGAGTTGAACAAGGCGAGAACTAAAGCGACCAGGATGAGTCTCATTTGCAAGAGAGACCTGGATCACCCAAATTACCAAAGCTAAATAAAACACAGAGTTACAGTAATTAAAGCAAACATACTATTTTCTTCTTTCGATAAAGCATATATAAACAATAGAAAGACAACTGCTGTCTCATGAAAAATCGACGTAATGGAGCTAAGGGATGATAGAATGTGTGAGTAATGTGCGACATGGATGTCCTCTGCCCCCTACACGACTGAACATTTTCTTTGACTACGTAGTTTGAGACGATTTCCATGGATGTACCAGTAGAATTTATCTGGTATAGATATAATGGGAGGCTGATCGATGCCTGAGCCGGTCATGGTATGGCTCTCTATTGTTAAACCATATTATGAATGCGGATGATCTGGTGATTACTGCCCACTCTAAGGAGAAGTTGGAGACACTACAGCTAAACATGAAGCATGCTACTAAAATATGGGCCGTTACCATCAGCCCCACGAAAACAAATCACCTCCCTGGGTATTTTACATCATAAAAATGCTCCCTTCCTCAATTCCTCATGTATTTGGGGCACCTGAGGAGAGAGTGGAGTGGGCAGTGTGCTGATGATCAAGTCCGTTTTGGGAGCCGAGGTCTCATTTAAAATAATTCGAGCATTATATTTTCATCAACTGCTCAACAGTGTGGAAGCTACCTGGCATGTCACTCCATAAAAATCTTCATGTCTTCTCGGCCACAGTTATACCCTTCCTTATCTCTCTCGAAAGGAACATTAAGGTTAGCTTGCCCACGATCTATTCAGGGTTTAACCAGACTGGACTTTGTAAGCTCACAGATTCCTAGAATATCTGGACAAATGCCCATCTGTGGGCTCCTCCAGCAAGCGAGGCTGCGTTGATTGTGTCATGCAGTCCGTATGCAGTCACGGCATCCCCAAGCAGCTTCAATTTGGCTGGATAGATGGTGCTAAATGGGCGTGGTACGGGGTAGAGAAGAGATGGACTGATGTGGTGCAGAAGGATGTGGAGCTGATTGGACTTATTGATGACTGGTATCAGCAGTGTCATGATCGGCTTCTGTGGAGGAGGTTCATGAAAGGTGCTGCTGGGGAAGTGGAGGCAGTTGCCCTCCAGCAACAGCATAGGGCAGAGGAGCGAGGCTCAAAACAACGAGCAGAGCGCCAAACAACTGACACAAATAAAGTTGGCACAGTGGGGAGCACGGCTGTTGCATCTGCCCATCATCTTCCTAAGTCAATCCATGGCACCTGCGTCTATTACATGACCTCCTGCCAGCCAGCCTTCGACACTTCACGTGGCCTCAAAATGCACCGAGCATGGCACAAGTGCTGTGGTGATGTCACCGCCACTTAGGGGTGAACGACGGTTGTTGCGTTGTTGTTGTGCGTGTGTGCACGGACGCATGTACGCCTGTGAGTCTCGTGTATGGAGAGATAAAGAGAGGCAGCCGGGCAGGGTGCTGGCCATTCACCCCGTGTGCCATTCAGAGCTTCATAGGCGCTTGCCCCAACATTCTGGTAAGGCTATACAGCGGATGATTGTCGCTGTTGTGTGTGTGTATGGACGTTCACCCCCCTCCCACCGCCCCCGTGTGTGCAGGGACTCATTACGCCCCCTCCCGACAAGCAGACCGGCATCCGGACTAAAGGTAAGTGACAATAACAGATTTTTTTTCCATTTAAGTAACTTTATGTTTTGCTCACAATACAGTATTTATTAGAGTGTTGCATGCAAATGTACGATATTTTGTCTTATATATGACTTTGTTGATGTTCTATGGGGTATGTTTGTCTTTCTGAGTAATGTTTTAATTAGGGTGGTGTCATTTTCACAATTTCCCCAATATTTTTAAATGGCCGACTTGCGCTTCAGCAATTTTCGGAACCAATGGCTAAATCTCTTCATCTTCTTGGGCTTGGTGGTGGTGGCAGAAGTGGTGGTGGAAACGGTTGCGGTGGTGGAAGCTGTGGCAGCGGCGGTGGAAGTGGCCGTCGGTGGTGGTGGCATCATTGTACATTTGAGACACGGTCCATATTAGCTCTTTCAGCTGGCTACGGAGATGCAGGTTCTCTTCTTGCAGCCTCTTTTCCCCATGCCACATGTCCTCGTGACGCACCAGCTTCCCGCGCAGCCTAAACTGTTCCTGCCCTCTCTGCGGATTCAGGAAGTTCAACTTCCTCAGGTGGGCGTGCAGCGACCTCCGGAGATCTTCGTTTTCACAGCGCAGCGACATTTGCCGCTGTGCTGCATTGCAGTCTCGGAGAAAATCTGCATGCAGAGACTTGCTCTCCCTGCAAGGCACTCTCGTGGGCTCCAGCTCCAACTGGCGCTCTTTAAGCTGTTGAACCAGGCTCCTGATCTCTCTCTGGAGAGTCTCTCGGTTCTCCATGAACTCCTCCAGCTGATGCTGTAGCTCCAGACGGAGCATCTTGCTCTTCTGACAGAGCTCCACATTCTGCAGGCCCATCCTCTCCGTAGACAGCGTCGTGGTCTCATGGTCAAAGTCTGAAATGGAAAGCGTAAAAAGAAGATATATGAAGATCCCCATCCCAAGCATGGCCAAGACCAGAACGCCAACGATCAGCAGCACCATGCTCAGTTCGAGTTGACGGCACGCGGGACAGAAGCAAGTGTGAGACACGTCACGAAGGGGCGTGTTATTTATCGTGACGTCATTACCGGATGTGACGTACACTATGACGTAACAGCCATCTCTGCCCACTTATTGTCAATCATTGCCCACCACGTGACTCCACGGCCCTGCCCCTAACCACACAGCTCCTCCCCCATACTCTTCTTCCGCCTTCCCCACGTGACGCGAGCCAATCACGCGAGAGGCGGCGCGCGGTCGGCCCCGCGTCCGCTTCCCGCCATTCTTGCAATGGGCGGCGGGGCCGCTCAGGGTGGGGCGCGGGGCGCGGGGGCGAGTTCACTCCACGTCGCGAGTCGGGAGGAGGGACGAGGGGGAGGGGCCAGGAGGGACGAGGGGGAGGGGCCAGGAGGGACGAGGGGGAGGGGCCAGGAGCGGGAGGGGGGGGGAGCTGAGAGCTGCGAAAGTTTGGGGTACCACTACTTGAAAAATATACTGTACCACAGAAATGAGTTTATGTTTAGTTCGATTTAGAACATCTTTCCAATGGTTGCTTAATTTGAAACCAACTTCTCGGTTGAAATTGTGTCTGTGTTTGTAGATCTGAATTGCCTCGTGAACAAATCTCTGATAAAAACCCGTGGGTTTGCAAAGAACCTTGGTATCGGAGAAAATTATATCGTGATCACCCACATGGTTGTAACAGTGATCAGCAAAGAATTCGTTTTGCTGTGTTTCAAATCTGATTTGTGCTCGCGAATTCGGTCAGAGACATGTCGCTTTGTCTCCCCGATATAGCAATCACCGCAGGTACAACTCAATTTGTAAACCCCGGGGTACTGTAAGTCAGGAATGCCATCCTTCACGGATGGGATCAGATCACGAATTTTGTGTACTGTATTGAACCGGACCTGGATCTTGTGTTTGTTTAGAATTTTGGAAATCTTTTTAGTAACGCCTGCTATATATGGTAGTGTGATGGTTTTGGCCGGAGTATCAAGTGGTTGTTTCTGTATGGAGGGAGAAACAGCTTGGCGGATGGTACGGTCAGAGTAACCATTCCTTTTGAGGGCCAGGTGTACATGTTTTAATTCACTGGTCAGGTGGTGTTGGTCCGAAATGCAATGAGCCCTATGGTATGAAGTTTTGATGAGAGAATTCTTTTGGGCTGGGTGGTGGTGGGAATCAGGTTTCAAGTAGGAATCTGTGTGGGTGGGTTTCCTGTAGACAGAATGCCCCAATGAGCCATCAGGTCTCCTCTCAAACAGAACATCTAAGAATGGTAGCTTAAATTTCGATTTAAAGTTTTCGTGACTGCAAGGATTCATCTTCTTTGGTTCTTTCGGTAAAGTCACGTAGAATGAGAATAAAATAATAAATTGATAAAATAAAATAACACAATAATATTCTCACGACGTTTCGGCCACAACACAAGCGGCCTTCATCAGGTGAAGGGGACGAGACTGTCTGGAGGACAGCGCTGGAGTGAGAAAGCCACGCTGAGATCACGACCTTTAAGCTGTGTGAGAAGAAACAAAGCGCCTGACAAAGGAATTAGCATTTAATTTAGCATTGAAATGGCTGAGTGATTAGCTTGTGACTGGTCACAGAAAAGGCTATATTAAAGTTAAAGCATACACATCCGCAAAGGCACCCCTTGACAAAGGAATTAGCATAGAATTTAGCATTGAAATAGCTAAGTTAAAGTATACACATCCGCAGAGGCACTACTTGACAAAGGAATTAGCATAGAATTTAGCATTGAAATAGCTGAATGATTAGCTTGTAACTGGTCACAGAAATAGCTATGTTAAAGTCAGAGCATATACATTCACCGAGGCACCTAGTACAAATCAAACAGGAGAATTTAGCATTGAACTAGGCGAATTTAGCATTGAAATAACTGAGTGATTAGCTTGTGACTGGTCACAGAAATGGCTGTTGAAGTTAAGGCCTACACATCCGAGCTATTCACTGTAACTGGGTATACAATACAATATATAATGAATACTATATCATGAACCAAAAAAAATACTAAAATATAAATTACCTCAATGTTATCAATAAACTCTATATTCTCCAATCAGCTAAGCTACCAACAATAAGTCGTTATATATCACAATGCTATATGGCGAAAAATGGGTGGATTCTTACCCTCAACTTTAGCAACACGGATAGCTTAACCGTGGTTAATGGTATGGTTTACAACATGGAGTATAACAGCGCCTCGCAGCTGTCTCTCTCCCCCTCCTCTGTTCCGACCATCGATGAACTCGTCCGTCTGAACGGGACCCGTAGCTATCCGTGGTGCTAAAGTTGAGGGTAAGAATCCACCCATTTTTCGCCATATAGCATTGTGATATATAACGACTTATTGTTGGTAGCTTAGCTGATTGGAGAATATAGAGTTTATTGATAACATTGAGGTAATTAAATTTTTGTGTTTTTTATTGGTTCAGTATATAGTATTCATTATATATTGTATACCCAGTTACTGTGAATAGCTCAGATGTGTAGGCCTTAACTTCAACATAGCCATTTCTGTGACCAGTCACAAGCTAATCACTCAGTTATATCAATGCTAAATTCGCCTAGTTATTTCAATGCTAAATTCTCCTGTTTGATTTGTACTAGGTGACTCGGTGAATGTATATGCTCTGACTTTAACATAGCTATTTCTGTGACCAGTTACAAGCTAATCACTCAGCTATTTCAATGCTAAATTCTATGCTAATTCCTTTGTCAAGGGGTGCCTTTGCGGATGTGTATGCTTTAACTTTAACATAGCCTTTTCTGTGACCAGTCACAAGCTAATCACTCAGCCATTTCAATGCTAAATTATGTTAATTCCTTTGTCAAGGCGCTTTGTTTCTTCTCACACAGCTTAAAGATCGCGATCTCAGCGTGGCTTTCTCACTCCAGCGCTGTCCTCCAGACAGTCTCGTCCCCTTCACCTGATGAAGGCCGCTTGTATTGTGGCCGAAACGTCGTGAGAATATTATTGTGTTATTTTATTTTATCAATCTATTATTTTATTCTCATTCTACGTGACTTTACCGAAAGAACCAAAGAAAATGGTAGCTTACCATCTTTCTCCACTTCCATGGTCTTGTTCTTCTGACAGAGCTCCACATTCTGCAGGCCCATCCTCTCCGTTTGCAGCGTCGTGGTCTCGCGGTAAAAGTATGAGATGGAAAGCTTAAAACGAAGATAAATGAAGATCTCCATCCCAAGCATGGCCAAGAGCGGAACGCCAACGGTCAACAGCGCCATGCTGAGCTCGTGTTGACGGCACGCGGGACGGAAGGAAGTGTGAGGCACGTCACGAAGGGGCGTGTCCTATATCACCGGATGTGACGTACAGCCATCCCTGCCCACTTATTGGCAATCATTGCCCACCACGTGACTCCACGGCCCCGCCCCTTACCGCGCAGCTCCTCCCCCATACTCTTCTTCCGCCTTCCCCACGTGACGCGAAGCGAGCCAATCACGCGAGAGGCGGCGCGCGGTAGGCCCCGCGACCGCTTCCCGCCATTCTTGCAATGGGCAGCGGGGCCGCGCAGGGGGGGGGGCGGTGGGGGCGGGGGGGGGCGGGGCTGAGTTCACTCCACGTCGCGAACGGGAGGAGGATTGACGAGGGGGAGGGGCCAGGAGGGACGAGGGGGAGGGGCCAGGAAGGACGAGGGGGAGGGGCCAGGAGGGACGAGGGGGAGGGGCCAGGAGCGGGAGGGGGGGAGCCGTGGCGCCGCTCTTGGGCCGCGAGGCCTCCCCCTGGACCCGCGGCGCCACGCGGAGACCGCGACAGCAGCAGCAGCAGGAGGTGGTGGTGGTGGTGTTTGTGGTTGTAGGCACGGGAGAGGTGGTGGTGGTGTTTGTGGTTGTAGGCACGGGAGAGGTGGTGGTGGTGTTTGTGGTTGTAGGCACGGGAGAGGTGGTGGTGTTTGTGTTTGTAGGCACGGGAGAGGTGGTGGTGGTGTTTGTGGTTGTAGGCACGGGAGAGGTGGTGGTGGTGTTTGTGGTTGTAGGCACGGGAGAGGTGGTCACGGACAGGCGGTGAGTGCCGGGTGATGGAGGGGGGGGGGGATTGCAGGGTGAGTGAGTTAATGAGGAGAATTAATAGGTGAGGAGGGTGAGTGAGTTGAAGGGTGAGGTGAGTGAGTGGGTGAGTGGTGAGTTCACGACAGGGAGATTGGGGCTGAGTGAGTGAACGCAGCGCACGGTAAAGATCCCCTGAGAGCATTCGCAAGAGTTGGACATTGAGTGCCGCTGTCAGGGTCCACACGCAAATTACTCACTTGGCATGATATACAAATTAACCATTGTAAACGATAACTTTAAAAAAGTCCGCTATTTGTCAGAGCTAATGCGATGTGCGTTTTGCATATTTGTAGCACGTTATAACCATCGTCAACATCGTCATTTAGAGTAACCATTAGTCCATGGGTCGGCAACCTATGGCTCGCGAGCCAGATGTGGCTCTTTTGATGACTGCATCTGGCTCGCAAATAAATCTTAGCTGACATTTCTTAACATGATAAGTAATGAATAATTCCGCTGACATTAAAGTAAAACATTACAGAAATCACAGTGTTAAAAAGTAACGTTTAAAATATAAAACATTCTCATGCATTTTAATCCATCCACCCATTTTCTACCGCTCCTGCTCAGGGTTGCAGGTGTCTGGAGCCAATCCCAGCTGTCCGACACCAAAACTCTATTTTTATAGGATAATGCGGTAGCCTAAGGGTCGTTGTGAGGTCAAGATGTAAACTTCCGTCCTTTTAATCAAATAGTCAGCTAGCTAATTAATGCAGAGCAAACCCTTTTGATGAAGAAGATGGCGAAAAGTAAAAAAAGATGAGGAGTACCGCACATTTCAGCACGAATGGACAGAAGAATTCGCCTTTGTGGAGAGAGCAGGTCATACGTGTCACTTGCTAATAGTCCCCGGGTCAATCACAACTTTGCCGTGCGTGCCGTGCAGGCTTTGTCTCTGGCTGCTCGCTAGGGCTGCGATGCCTTTCCATGCCACAAGATGACGTTCATTGCTCCTTCCACACCGCGACAATATTTACTGCAGTGTTCTATAACGCGGCAGTTGCGTTGCTGAATAACACCGCGTTGTGTAAACTCCCTCGTTACAATGACTAATACAGGGTAAAGCACAGTCCGTGATAACAGCGTGAGATGCGTGTGTCGGCTGAACAAAGACTGAGGCGCGTGGGGAGCATCAGGAAGCATCCAGCAGCATCCCAATGCCTCGTGTGACGCTGTGCCCAGGCAGCCGTACAACCGCACATTCCTACTCGCGCGACGTGGTTCTGTTGACTCAATCGCGTTATATCCATTTAGCATCTGCGTTATAAAACGTGTTCCCTATTACATCCATCGTGCCATATCCAAATGGCGTTATGAAAACACGCGTTGAGGCAGAACGAACTCTATAAACTATTTTTATTTTACCAGGTGAGACCCACTGAGCTATGTGGCTGTTTTCCAGAAGCGACCTTTCCACAAATGATAGATCAGCTAAATGGCTAATCACGTTAGAAATGTGTAGCACCAGCCACAAATACTCTAGACATGGGATCCCCTTTGACAGGGTCAGTGTCTACTTAGATTCACTCACTCCGCCTATTGTCATGCGGCAGTGCGCAGCTGCGTCGTGACACTTGGTAGAGTGCTGTCTTTGAGGCAGAGAGCTTTACAACCGTGTGCAGTGGTTAATTTGCTTAACAGCTTTACACCGAACTCCTTGCTTGTGGTAAAACATGTTTGCGACTTTGCTGATCGAGAACTATGCAGATTTAGATTTATAGTAACATGTACTTAGTGTGAGATGAACTTCCAAACAATTTCCTTTGCTCAACATCTTGCAATTAATGTCTTTTTAAATGGTCAGCTTAAGTGATTCCGTGATGGTTATGTAACTTGACCATTAAGATAATCTATGGAGCACAATTATTTCAGTATTATTTGTCATAAGTAAACTTTAAACTGAACCCATATGTGATATTATATTGATTGATTATTTTATTTTTTAATGTAGTCTACATGCTCTTCTGGGGATATTACCCCACATTTACCATTCATTGATGTTCCCTTTGACATTGGTAATTGGCATTGTCACACCATAGTAATTCATGGGCAATTATGTAATTCTCTCTGTGTCTATCTCTCTGCATCTGTCTGTGTGGGTGTCTCTCTCTGCCGGTGTGTTTTTCTCTATATGCGTCTCTCGTGTGTCTCTTTGTGTGTGCCTCTCTCTGTGTGTGGATGTCTCTCGGTGTCTGTGTCTCTCTTTCCTTTTCCACGATGTGGTGTTGTATTTACATGCAAATTCTACCTCTAGCCCCGCCCACTTACCCTTGGGCTGAGCTTATCTCAAGCCAATATAACTTCGTGTTTCAGCAGCTTTCTCGCTATATTTTTTCACCTGATGATGGTTGCTTGTGTTGCGATCGAAACGTCGTGATCTATTATTTTTTTCTACCTACGTGACTTTACCGAAAGAACCAAAGAGTATTGTGATTGTAATTTGATAGTGATCGTTGTGGTGGAGGTGGTGATATTGATGGTGGTGTTAACGATAGCGGTGATTTTGGTGGTTGTAATGGTGGTATTGATGGTGGTAATGGTGGTTGACTATTACCCCTCTCGTGTCCTTACTTCCACCACCAGGTTTAAGAATCTGCTGGTGTCTGTGCTGGAGGTGGACGTCGGATATCTGTGCGGTCTGGAGCGGTGGACAATAGACTCCTGCAGCTCAACCAGGTGGACGCACTGGGCAGGGGGCAAGATGGTGGTGGCCTTAGAGACCCACTTACTCCCACAGAGAGCCATAGACTCACTCACAGAGTACACTCACACAGAGAGCCAAAGTCTCACTGACACAGAGCCATAGGCTCACTCACATGGAGACACATAGACTCACTCACACAGAGAACCATTGATTAACTCATTGGTTTTTTCGGTAAAGTCACGTATGTAGAAATACCATAAAATTATATTAAAATAAATCAAGCACGACGTTTCGACCGCAACACAAGCGATCTTCATCAGGTGTAAAAACAAATAGCACATAGGGTGACATCAACGCAACACATAGAGAGCGTTAAACTGCACGGAGGTAAATACAACAAGAAGATGAGAGACGAGAATTCAAAAAACCTAAGAAAAATTTACGTGATGCAATACCAGTCGGCCAACGACACAGTTAGACACCTGCCTGGCAGACCACGAATTTCAGAAGAGTGCTAAATTTCGTGTTCATCCTCTGGGTTGAACATACCAGCATAGACAGAGTGAACAAATACGAGGTATAAGATAGCAGAAATACATATACAGGGACACAAGAGGTAAGAAGAGGAAAGACGGACAGAGAAGCAAGAAAAAAGGGGCCGGAGGGATGAACAGACAGAGGCTTAAAATAAGTAGCAGAGGTGGGGGGAGGGGGAGGGGCCGAAGAAAGCAAGGGGCACGGCAGCAGCAGAAGAGGGGGGAGGGGCAGGAAAATGTAAGGGGGCGCAATTTGGGTAATTAAACCTTTGTTGTCCAATTCTCAACATGTGCCCAATCACAGGGGGCGCCTCGACATTTACTGCATGGGAGGCACACTATGAATAATCAATGAGAATGACAATGATGGTCTCAGTCTAGCCTCGAAAATGTTGGTAAATTATTATTACTACAGTTGAACACGTAGGCTTTCACGACCAATGTTATCCATTTACGTATAGTAATGATCGCTACACTGCCGCTGTCTACCCAGCCATAAAAAGCTCCACACGGTATGAATACTGCTCGTCTTGAGAATAAACTCGCCCCGTCTTATGAACGTAGAATTATCACCACCACCAGGACAGGGCTGTAAGCACGAGATAAGCACCGCCTCAATGTTTAATTTAGGAACAAATAACTTTAACTTTAGGTTTATTTTAGGAAGAATCACTTTCACTTTAGGCATATATAATGAGTTTCGCAGACTGAATCAGTGCATCACACAAGTTGCGTGCCGCGTGAGGTGAGCACATTGGTGGTTATCATGAAGTGAGCTCACCGACCAATGACAAGTCACCTGGTGAGTAACTCATAATAAAAATAACCAACATTGTCTCAGTACAATGTAAAACAGGCGTGTCTCGCTTAACGAGCATGATACGTTCCATGAAAAATGCACGATAAGCAAAAGCTCCCATGCTAAAAGCTGAGCTACGTTTCACTCTTGAGCAACTTTATTACCGTGAGAGACAAAAAATAATCTGAAAAAAATAAAGTAATAAAACATAAAATCTAACACCACACATGAAGAACCAAAGTGCTTGAAGGTGCCACCGCTCCATCCACCCCACCCCACCCACCCACCCCACCCCACCCACCCACCCCACCCCACCCACCCCACCCCACCCCACCCACCCCACCCACCCCACCCACCCACCCCACCCCACCCACCCACCCACCCCACCCCACCCACCCACCCCACCCCACCCACACCCACCCCACCCACCCCACCCACCCATCCCCACCCATCCCCACCCATCCCCACCCATCCCCCCCCCCCCCCCCCCCCCCACCCCACCCCCCCCACCACCCCCCCCCCACCCCACCCCCCCCACCCCTCCCACCGATCCTCCCCCCAACCCTCCCCTCAACGCTCCTTTCACTCCTCCCGTCACCCCTCCACCCCTCTCCTTTCTGCTGCGTCAGGGCCAGAGGCTGAGAGCAGGGGAGAGGAGGCTACACGGGGAACTGGGCCGCGTCAGGGGCGAGAGACGCGGGGCGACTCGACACTTCACAGCGTGGGTGAGTGTGGGGAGTTCGTGGTGCATGGGGGACGGTGGGTGGTGTGGTTCAGACTATAAACCACCTGTGTAGGATACACGGGGGATTTTTTATTGGTGCCTAAATGGCTGTGTGTGTGTGGAAGACGGTGTAGTGTGTGAGTGTGTGTGCGGTGGGGGGTAGGGAGGTAAATGTGTGTGTAATGCAAATGAGTATCTGGGGCGGTGTGTAAACATCACACATTGGGGAGACAAAGGCGGTCCGGCGTGGTTCTGACCACTTACCATTTCGTGTACTATGCCGGCCTTCATAGGAGCTCAATAACAGCACTTGCCCCACCAGTCTGTGGAGCTCCATGGGGGATGTTTGTGTCGGAGCTCGTGCTGTAGGCATAGACGACGCGCGACCGTGGATCCTCTATAGGGAGCGCGCGTCTGCTGTGGGTCGCATGGAGCTGTACGAGCGGACACCGCCGCAGCGATTCCCATACCGAGTCACGAGATAGGCGCTGGGAAACAATTGCGCTGAAGTGTGTTGCTGGGTGGATGAAGCGAGCACCACCATGGTGTGCTTGCCTTGTATGGTCAGTCGTGTGACTGATTATTATAATATATTAATTCACACCTGTGCACCGTGTCATGGCAGTTTCTCTGTTTTTCCTTCATTGCATTTTTATTTCAGAAATATTTCACCTGCAAAATAGATTGAGTTTGAATATCTCATGCGAAAGGGTGCCCAGGGCATGTGGGGTCGTCCAATTGCACAGTGCTTAGCGCACATCACTACACACCCATGGACTAAATCCAGAGGCGAGTGACAAATGAATCAGTTCTGCCCCCCTCGCTTCACCAATCCGCACTAGTCGGCGTGGTGAAATATGGTTAAAAATCAACAAGACCGACAGGGCATAGGGTGCCCATTATCCAGAAGGGCTTTACTTTATTATCACATCCACATCTAATTGTGGATTTGGTTATTTTTCTTTAGTTATCTTTGTTGCATAAATACAACTTGACAAGATGTGTACTGCTTCATTCTGGTACATTTACTGTTTTTCAGTGCATTTCAGCACTGGGTGTGTTTGTTGGATTTATTGTTTGTCACGTGAGGTTAAACACTAAAAAACTATTTTATGAACCAGGCAAAGTCCACTAAGCTATTAGATTTTTCATTGAACTGACAGATGCTGTAACCTGGTCCCTTGGGTACCCAGGCCTTCCTATAGTATAACTCCAGGAATTGGCAGATTTTTATTTTATTGTACCAAGTAAGGTCCACTGAGCTATATAGCTGTTTTTCAAAAGCAACCAGGCCACAAATCATAGCTCAACGAAGTGACTTATCACGTGGAAATTTGTAGCAGCCAAATACTGTAAACGCATATTTCTAAATGTGAAGGGAAAAAAACTCGAGGATCCAGAGAAAAACCCACGCCACCACGGGGAGAATATGCAAACTCCAAATATCCAGGCGTCAGGGTTGGAATCGAACCCACGACCTCCTGCATTCCAGGCGAAGGGGATAACTTGTTGCCACCACTGAGCCCCTTGTTAATCTGATGTGGTATACTGGTACAGCCCCTGGTGGCCTCAGTCACTTTACTGACCTTTGCACCATTGTGTAGTCGGTTCAATTGAGTCGCAGACATACTCTTTGGAGGCAACAAATGTATTTATACCAACACGAAGGGGTAACTTCCCTTTTACCAGATAACAACCTATGATGGTGGACCACCAGGCTATCTGCGCTAACACTCTGGGATAGCTACAACGAGCAGGACTCCAGCTTGAGTCCTGCCTATGTGTTGGTGACTCTTCACGGACGTTGAATGTAGATCTTTCAGAAGACAACAGCAAAGCTGAACCCTGGTCCCTCTGGGGACCCGGTTTATATGCTCACCAGTCGTGGCCGGCTCCGCCCTTGGCCACGACTACCTTCTCGATTCCTATTGCAAGATCTCGCCCTGACACGTGACTACCCACTAGCCCCAACTTGGGGCCCCTGTGTAGACTTTACCCGTCATGTACCTTCCAGGGTCAACCAGAGTGCAATGGCCCACATTAACCTCATTCATGGCTGACACTTTCACACCCCTCCTATAGAGGACAGCACTGCACGCCACGCGTGGTGCCACTCAGCGCCATGACTCAGCGTTCACCAAGCCCCACTAGGGCTGGTACTACACCCACATATATGGGGTGTCGGTGATGTAATTACATCGCACGCCGTGTCTCTCAGGCCGGCACTACACAGTGGCATTCCCGATGTCACTACATTACCCCCCCCCCCCCCCCCCCATTCGTAGCATTCAGCCGTCCTGGCTGTCAACTCCCCCTTAAAACTAACCAAGTGAATAAGTTCTAGATTTGAAGCTTTCGTGACTGCAAGGATCCATACTCTTTGGTTCTATTCGGTAAAGTCACGTAGGTAATAACAAAATCATGACGTTTCGGCCACAACACAAGTGGCCTTTCATCAGGTGAAGGGGACCGTACTGTCATGAGGACAGCGTTGGAGTGAAGACAGTCCAGCCCAGGTCGCGTCCTTTTAAGCTGTGTGGGAGGAAACAAAATGCTTTGACAAAGGAATTAGCATAAAATGACCGTAACGCACAAGAGGACCGGCACAGAGGGGGGGGAGCGGGTGCGAAGTGGAACGTAGAGGACCGGCACGGGGCGGGGAGTTTACAAATGTAGGTGTGAAGTGAAATAAGCTTCTATGAAAGTTTGGTATATCACTATTTGGATAAATACCATTGAAAATTAGTTTAATGTTTGGTATGATTTAGAACATCTTTCCAATGGTTGCTTAAGTGAATAAGGTGATAAAAAGTGAGTAAAAGTGACTAAACGCTATGTGTGCTTCAATAATTAACAATAACAAATAGCATATAAATACCCAAGCCCACCTATACAATATATACACTACCTACAAATGTACAGAACAACACGAGAAAATATAAAACGCGAATGCACGGAATCCCCTCCATCACCAACAACTCCCATCCTCACCGTGTAACAATACCCATAAGCACAACAAAGGCTAGGTTCAGCCAATAACCGATATGGCCTACTGAGTGTGACAAGCAACTGATGGTGTGGGAGTGTGTGTGCATGGGTGTCACAAAATCCGAAGAGTTTTTGAGCGAGTCCTCGTGGCTGGGCCTCCAGTGGAGGTGGGCTCACTCTCCCTGGAGGTCCCAGGGGGAATATGCAACTGTCCAGTCGAATCCGGCTCCTCACGAAGAGCAGTAGGCCGGGTCGACGGGTTCTCCTCTCCCGAATCAAGTGAAGACAGCGCAGGCAGCGGCTCGGGGGACATCAGGGGCGCGGCACCTGAGGGAGGAAGCACACGACTCCGCTGAGGACCAACCTCAACGGGCACACATGCCAGCTCGCCGGACACATCTGTCCCTTGGCGCCCACAGTGTGGAGATGGAACAAACTCACAGGGAGCAATAAAGGGCTTAGGGCAAGAGGAGTGTACAAACCAACTCCGCCGCCCCAAGCGGATCTGGACACACTGCGGTCGAATGACCCGAATCACATCAACCAGCCCTCTCCAGGGTTTGAGCAATTTGGGCGATGTACCCACCGGTACCTGTGGACAGTGCAACCAAGCTCTGTCCCCAGGTGCCCACTCATGTTTTGAAGTACGGAAGCCCCTCAGCCATTCATTGGCCAATTGGCACGAATCAGAATTTACCCTGGAAGTCTCCCGCACTTCGGAAAGCTTTTGAAGGGTACAGCACACGGAGTCAGAGATTTAAGATTTAGCCTTGTTGGGTGCGGCTTGTAACTGAACATGAATCAGGGGGTCGTGTTCTCGCTGACCTGATGACTCAACATGGAGGTCAGAGTCCTGTGCAGCCACCTCAACCATACCATCCGTCTGCGGATTGTGCGGTGACATGTGTACTTTCTTGGTTCACAACTAACGCACACCTCTTGCAATAATTTTGAAGAAAATGTTTTTCCCTGATTGTTCAGAAGACGTTCGGGAGCACTCTTGTCCATTATGTAGTGGGTAATAAACTGGAGGAAGCTTACTCTGAGGCAACACATTTATTATAACATTAACAGGTTATTACACAATGGGGTAATGGCCCCTTTCACCCGATACTCTATGGAGGTAGTCCCTCCAGACTAGCTTGCCTCTCACTGGCTATCACGACATCTATACTGCTGGGGCTTGAGTCTTCCCTTGAGTCTTCACTGGTTATCAGCTGGAGCTTTCACTGGTACAAGCTCGAGCCGACCCTAGCCAGGGGTTCGGCTCTGCCCATTGGGCTCTTCTCTTCAGGGCTCCAGGATGCTCTTCAGTCTTCGGCCGGACAACAACTGCTGGGACCGCTCAGGGACCTGACTTATATATAGGCTCCTGGCTCACTCCGCCCCTGGCCACGCCTTCCTTTTAGGACCGTCTCCGAGGGTCTGGAGAATGACATCATCTCCCCAGCCCCCTTCCCGGGATCTGGGGTCCCGACCGTTGGTCACGATGCTCCCCCAGGGATTGCCTTGGCCAACGGCCCGTCATCATTAATCCAGCAGGTTCAGCCTCCCCTCTGCTCCCTACTGACACAAGCTAGTACTGCCGGCTATGATTAGTGGCGATCATGTTCAACCATGCCACTACAATTACGTAGCCATTGAGGAATGCCTCAGTGATCTTTGCCGCCAACTGTTTGGGAAGCGGCCAGGCCACAGGCCATCATGAGAAATACTCGACTCCCACCAGAAAATATTTATTCCCACGAGCGGCTTCTACCGCGTGCACTGCACACACCCCTTCAACAAATTAGCAGCATCCTCAGCCATGCCAGGCCAGAAGAAATCCGACTTACGTGTGGCCAATGCTAGTTTATGCACACCCAAGTGCAACAGATGCTCGTGCACCGCCCAAATGACCTTACCCCGCAGGGCGGTGGGCACAACAATGTTGGAACATCGCATCTCTCCGTCCCAATGCATGATCAATCCGCCTCTGAGAATGAAAGAGGTGACACCCCATCGATCCTCGCC